AACAAATCAATAACCAAAAACAAAATCCAATTAAAAAAATAACAAAATATTTGAATAGTCATTTATCAAAAGGAGACATACAAATATTCAACAGGTATATTTTAAAATGCTAAACATGACTAATAGTCAGGGAAATGCAAATCAAAATCACGATGAGATATCATCTCATCCCAGTTAAAATGGCTTTTATTCAAAGGACAGAAAAATAACAGATGCTGGCAAGGTTACAGAGGAAGAGGAATGCTCGTACATGGTTGGTAGAAATGTAAATTAGTATAGCCACTATGGAAAGCAGTATGGATGTTCCTCAAAGAAACAAAAATAGAACAAACATATAATCCAGCAGTCTCACTGCTGGGTATGTATCTAAAAAAAAAAAGGAAATCAATATATTGAAGAGACATCTGCACCCTCATATTTATAGCAGCACTATTCAAATAGCCATGATATGGAATCAACCTAAGTTATGGAATGGATAAACTGGTAAAGAAAATATAGTATATATACACAAAGGAATCAATCTCATTCAGTCATAAAAAAGAATGAAATCCTGTCATTTGCAGCAACATGAATTGAAGTGGGGGACATTATGTTAAGTGAAATAAGATAGGCACTGAAAGACAAATATTGTGTGTTCTTACTTATATTTGGGAACTAAAAACATTGATCTCACAGAGGCAGTGAATAGAATGGTGGTTACCAAAGGCTGAGAAGGATAGTGGAGAGGGGGCTGGAGTATGAAGAGGGGTTGGATAATAGGTACAAAAGTACAGTTAGATAAAAAGAATAAGTTCTAGAGCTCAATCGCTTGACAGAATGACTACAGTTAATGATAATTTACTGTACATTTTTAAATAGCTAGAAGAGAAGATATGGAATGTTCCCAACACAAAGAAATTATAAATGTTTGAGGTGATAGATATCCCAATTACACTGATTTTATCATTACACATTGTATTCATGTATCAAAATATTACATGGTTCCCATAAATATGTATAATTATTGTTTGTGTATAAATTTAAAAAATAAGATTTATTTATGTAATACCCCACCCAGCATTTTTGCCTTTCACAATCAGAACAATTAAATTTAGATAGTGATTGATATAACCAGTTAACAATGATGTGTTTGTATTCTCTCAATGTGTACCCCAGGACTATTCTTTCTGTGTACTTATCATACGGCCCTTCAGTGCTTGCCACATCAAAATGTTATATTTTCACATACTTTCATATAGTCATTTGGCCTTTCTTTCAATGTATTCAAAACAAACTCTCCAGCTGCTCATATTTACTTAAGATCCCGAGTTGAAAGTTACTAGGATGTATCCAGAACACAAGATTTCACCTGCTTATACAAAGATTAGTTCCCAAAATAATACATGATTCAATACATAGCCAGTTTATACCTGACTGTGACCCAATGGCACATAAAACAGCTCAAGCTTTAGAAGCCAAAAGACTAACATGTACTTATTAACTAGATAATAGTGTTACTCTCAACTTCTGCTCACAAGTTACTATGGATTGAATGCTTGTGTCCCCTCAAAAATCCATGTTGAAATCTTAACCCTCAATGTGATGGTGTGAGAAGATGGGGCTTTTGGAAGGTAATTAGCTCATGAGATTGATGCTTTCAAAAATGGGATTAATGGCCTGATGAAAGGGACCTCAGCATTCTTTTGTTCTATCATGTGAGGATACAAAGATAAGTCACTGCCTGAAACATGAACAGGACCCCTAACAGAACCCAACTATACTGGCACTCTGATCTCAGATTTCCAGCCTCCAGAACTGTGAACAATAAGTGCATGTTCTTTAAGCCATTCAGACTGTGGTAATTTGTTATAGCAGCCAAACAGACTAAGACACCATTTCAAGAAAGGATCTGCCTCAGAAACCATTATGAACACTTATATGCACACAAACTAGAAAATCTAGAGGAAATTCCTAGATAAATTCCTAGACATACAATATCTCCCAGGATAGAATTAGGGAGGAATTGAAACACTGAACAAACCAATATCAAGTTCCAAAATTAAATCAGTAATAAAAAACTTACCAGCCAAAAATAGTCCCAGACCAGATGGACTCACAGCTGAATATACCACACATACAAAGAAGAGCTGGTACCAATCCTACTGAAACTATTCTTAAAAATCGAAGAGGAACAACTCTTCCCTAACTCATTCTATGAAGCCAGTATCACCTTGATACCAAAGTCTGGCACAGACCCAATGATAAAAGAAAACTACTGACCAATATCCCTGATGAACATAGATGCAAAAACCCTTGACAAAATGCCAGCAAACTGAATCCAGTGGCATATCAAAAACTTAATTCACCATGATCAAGTCGGGTTCATTCCTGGGACACAAGTTGGTTCAACATACACAAATCAATACACGTGATTCACCACATAAAAGGAATCAAAAACAAAAAAAAATCGGATTATTTCAATAGACACAGAAAAGCTTTTGATAAAATCCAACATCCCTTCATGATAAAAACCCTCAACAAACTGGGTATTGAAAGAATATACTTCAATAAGAGCCATCTATGACAAATCCACCACCAACATCATAATAAACAGGCAAAAACTGGGAGCATTCCCCTTGAGAGGAGAACTGGAATAAGACAAGGATGCCCACTCACATTACTCCTATTCAACATTGTACTAGAATACTTTGCCAGAGCAATAAGGCAAGAAAAAGAAATAAAAGGTATCTAAGTAGGAAAAGAAAAAGTCAAATTATATTTCTTCACTAATGATAAAATTCTACACCTAGAAAACCCTAAAGACTAAACCAAAAGGCTCCTGGACCTAATAAAAGACTTCAGTAAAGTTTCAGGATACAAAATCAATGTACAAAAATCAGTAGGATTCAATAACATTCAAGTTGAGAGCCAAATCAAGAATGCAATCTCATTTATAATAGCCACAATAAAATAAAATAAAATAAAATATTTAGGAATACAGATAACCAAGGAGGTGAAATATTTCTACAAAGATAACTACAAAACACTATTAAAATAAATCAAAGAAGATCACGGACATATAGAAAAACATATGTTTATAGATTGGAAGAATCAACATCATTAAAATGGCCATACTGCCCAAAGCAATCTACAGATTTAATGCTATTTTGATCAAGCTACCAACATCATTTTTCACAGATCTAGAAAGAACTATTTTAAAATTCATATGGAACAACAAAAAAAAGAACTCAAACAGCCAAAGCAATCCTAAGCAAAAAGAACAAAATCAGAAGCACCATACTACCTATCTTCAAACTATACTATCAGGCTACAATAACCAAAAGAGCATGTTACTGGTACAAAAACAGACACATAAACCAATCGAACAGAATGGAGGGCCAGCAATAAAGCCACATCCCAATAGTCACCTGATTTTAAACAAAGTCAACAAAAATAAGCAATAGGGAAACAACTCTCTATTCAATAAACGGTGCTAGGTTAACTGCCTAATCATATGCAGAAGAAGGAAACTGGACTCTTACATTTCACCATATGCAAAAATTAACTCAAGATGGATTAAATATTTAAATGTAAGTTCTCGAACTATAAAAATCCTAGAAGAAAACCTAGGAAACACTATTCTGAACATCAGCCTGGGGAAAGAATATATAACTAAGTTCTCAGAAGCAATTGCAACAAAAACAAAAGTTGAAAAGCAGGGCCTAATTAAAAGACATTCTGCACAGCAAAAGAAACTAATAGAGTAAACAGAAAACCTGTAGAATGGGATAAAATATTAGCAAACTATACATCCTACAAAGTATGCATCCTAGAACTATGCATTCTAATATCCGGAATCTATAAAGAACTAAAACAATTCAACAAGCAAAAAATAAATGACCCCATTTAGAAATGGGGAAAAGACATGAACAGACATTTCTGAAAAGAGGATATATGAGCAGCCAACAGATACATTAAAAAATGCTCAACATCACTAATGATGAGAGAAATGCAAATCAAAACCACAATGAGATACCATCTCATACCAGTCAGAATGGCTACTATTAAAATGTCAAAAAATAAGAGATGCTGGTGAGGCTACAGAGAAAAGGAAATTATTATATACTGTTGATAGGAGTATAAATTAGTTCAGTCACTGTGGAAAGCAGTTTGGACAGAATTCCTCTGGAAGGAGGGTCTTAATTGCTTTATACCAGCTATCATATAGGAAGGCAGCAGAAAGGTTAGAGTAATATTTTTAGGCTTTATGGCTGTCTTTGGGGAAAATGGGCTTTGGTTGCCCCCAAGCCATGACCCATTTTGGAGGAGACAAATTCTGGTTTCCATGGCTTGCTTGGGGGAGAATGAGCGGTGAGGACAGGAGGACAGGAGAAGGTCAGAAAAAGACTTTGCTTGTGAGGCTACTTCTGAGGCTTTCACTTGGTAGTATCATTTTCTGAGCTCCAACATTATCGAATTTAAGAGGGCATAATAATTACTGTACAGAATTATATACAAAACCATGTGCTTTAATTTAAGGCATTTAAATTTAATTTAAATAAACAAGAAATGTTAAGACTAACTCTAATTTTACTAAATTCTTGACCAACTTTAGAATTTAACCTCCTAAGTAAGTTGCAACACCATTGTAATATATGGTCCCACTTCGTAGTTTATAATCAAAGGAGAAAGACAAGACCAAACAAAAGTTTAATCCATGGAAATTTAAAAAAAGCAGCAATGATTTTTGACAAGTTAGTCTCCATATTGGAGGCATTTGAGCACATCCTTTGAGCAGGAGGACAGGTTTTATAGGTGCAAAGAAATGGAAGAACATCCTTGTATTACTAAATCAGAAAGTAATGGAATAAATATGGATGAATGAAAATACACAGCTTTTTGGGGAGAAATAGAATGACCATAGCTAGAGCATGGGTTAAATGTAGAGAAGTAGTGGGAAAAAAAAGACCAGAATATGATGCACAAATGATAAAGTTACTGTCTGTTAGCTTGAAACCCACCGTTCAACCCAGCAGCTGAATCCAGTTTGTAGTTTTCTCAATGCTTGAAGAACTAGCTTCATCCACTGCCTCACTCCTCCTGCAAGACACCAGACCAGTTGAGTAACACATCCTCCTCACTGATCTGTTTCAGCTCCACAAGTTTACTCATCTAAGGTTGTAAAATTTAATGATTCCAAAGAGTGTTCTTTGTTCCCTACTTCCTAAGAGTGGTAGATGCTTCCTGCAGTTGTTACTTGTATACCCCTATATTTCTTTCTTGCCTTTTTTTTTTTTTTCTTTTTCTGAGACAGAGTCTGGTTCTGTTGCCTAGGCTGAACAGAAGTGATGAAATCATAGTGCACTGCAGCCTCAACTTCCTGGGCTCAAGCAATCCTTCCACCCCAGCCTCCTGAGTAGCTGGGACTACAGGTGTTCACCAGCACACCTTGCTAATTTTTAAATTATTTGCAGAGACAGGGTCTCCCTATGTTGTGCACGCTGGTCTTAAACTCCTTGGCTCAAGTGATCCTCCCACCTCAGTCTCCCAAAGTGCTTGGATTATAGGAGTGAGCCACCACATTCAGCTATACTTCTATATTTCTGTTTTTACTTTTTTAGTTACCCAGTTAACAATTATTTATATTAGATTTTAACTATTTATATAACTACTGTGATTTTTGTCTCCTGCCTAGACCCTGACTGATGGCGTTAGCTTAGGCTGTATTATAGAAGGCCTTAAACCCCAAGCTAAGGAATTCTTGTTGGCATGTGGAAGCCACTGAAGACTTTCTAGTCAGCAAGTAAAACGTTTTAACCTATGTCTGAAAAAGTTACGTCTGGCAATGCTGTGAAAAATAGATTGTAAGAGGCCAAAGTTTTGAGTGAGGAAGACAAGCTCAAGGCCACTTCAGGATGATTTTTCCAAGAAAATAAAGGTCCTCAGGCCAACAGATATCCATCAAGTTAGAAAACATAAACATATAAACCAAAAAATGGAAGATAATGAGTAAATGGTTTAAATTTACATTCCCCAAAAGCAAAGGGCCTATGTGATTTCAGAAATAAATTATATTAAATATCTAAGGGATAGTGCCAATGTTATTTCAACTGTTCTAGAGCTTATAGGAAAAAAACAAAAGGAAAACTTGTAAATTCTTTTCATAAAGCCAGCATAACATTAACATAAAAACATTAAAAAGCACACAAAAAGCTATAGTCTAACTGTGTTTATAAATATCAATGCAAAAATTCTAACTAAAATATTAAAAAATGGGATTATCAGCAGAAAAGCAGAATTATTTGATGTATAAAGTGAGTTTATATGAAGAACAAAGATAGGTTTCAATATTGAGAAACCTACTGATACAATTCACTACATTAAGAAAGAAACATAATGTAAGCATCTTCAGAGTTGCCAGCAACAGCATTTAATAATATTCAACATTTCATCTTGATAAATAATAATTATAATAACTCAATAAGAATGGATAAATCATAAATATAATGATATAAATTAAACTGATGCTTAATAATAAAATACCAGGAACATTCCCATTTAAGTCAGGATCAATAAGTATGCCCACTAACTTTTACCATAATTGTTTAATATTCTTCTGAGAGTCTTAGTCAAAAAAATTAGAAAAAAAGAAACAGAAAGCAAAGACATTGGAAATAAAAGGGCAGAATTATCACTTTCTGCAAATGATGTATTTGTATAAGTGGAAAAATAAAAGAACCAACTGTAAAACTATTTTTATAAAGCAGAAGTTGGCTAGGTTCAAAATCAATATAAAAATCAAAAATCTTATATATAGAAGGCAAAAGTTATATTAACAAGGTTAAAATTACATATAGCGATTTCTTTTACAATAAAAAAGCAATATACTTAATAAGAAATGTGCGAGATCTCCATAAAGAAAACATGAAAAGTAACTGAAGGACATAAAAGGCACTCTCATATTGTTAGTGGCATATATCTGTTTTAAAGATTGAAGAGGTTTTTAAATGGATATGGAATGATCTTCAAAATAATATGGTTAAATTTTAAAAGCTAGGCACACAACCCTGTGTATAGTATGCTTTCACTTGTAGCAAAAAAAAAAAAAAAACAAAAAAACGGATCTAGTACTAACTCTATTTTACAGGATACTGAGACACAGATATATATAGAATATCTGAAAGAATACACAAGAAACTAGTGATGGTAGTTGCTTTGGGGAAATGGAAGTAAGCGCTAAAATAAGAGGAGGACTTATTTTCTCTGCTGTATTGCTCAAATTCTTTTGCCATGTGAATATACTATTGTATGACTGCCACAAAGAAAAACTGATTAAACAGATGGAAAAACCCAACAGTCACTGTCAAAAGACATAGCATTTCTTTTTATTCGAAGAATATGGAAACATACAAAGATGTTTTCACAAAGCAGAAGATAACAAGCATGCTCCCAGACTGAGGTCTCCTCGAAAGCCTGAATTTTCACCTGGAAGTGTTCTGGTCGTCTCTTATTTTATATAACTAGTTGATTCACTTCCAAATAATTTGCCATTCATGAAACTTTAAATCCTCTAAGAGTTTCTATTGCCATTTTTCTGCTAAACACATTGCTATCTCATTAAGACAACAATGGAATTACCCATTAAAAATTATAAATTTTTAAACAAGTTATTTTTATCACTCCAGGTATAAGATAATAGGTTTTACTGTGGAAGTGGCACTGGGCTAATAAAAAATAGATAACTATTGACTTGTTATAATTATATTCCTTGGGGAGGTTTACTTAAAAAGAATGTCCTGGATCCTGGGAGCCTTTTTTTTTTTTTTTTTTTTTTTTTTTTAATAATAATAAGGTCTCACTGTTACCCAGGCTGAAGTGCAGTGGCATAATCACAGCTCACTGCAATCTTGACCTCCTGGGCTCAAGCAATCCTCCAGCCTCGGCCTTCCAAGTAGCTAGGATTACAGGTGTATGACACCATGCCTGGTTAATTTTTTGAGAAGGAGTTTCTCCATGCTCCCCAGGCTGGTGGGCTGGTCTTGAACTCCTGGGTTCAAGTGATCTGCCTGCCTTGGCCTCCCAAAGTGCTGGGATTACAAGCCTGAGCCACCACACCTAGCCCTGGGAGATGTTCAATAGTATTTTCTGAAACTCTTGTTTATCTTTGTGTGGTTAAAGGAACACTTGACCGTATAAAGAAAACAGACCAATTGGCTGGGCACGGTGGCTCATGCCTGCAATCCCACCACTTTGGGAGGCTGAGGTGGGCAGATCACCTGAGGTCAGGAGTTCGAGACCAGCCTGGTCAACATGGTAAAACCCCATCTCTATTAAAAATACAAAAATTAGCTGGGCGTGGTGGTATGCACCTGTAATCCCAGCTACTCGGGAGGCTGAGGCAGGAGAATTACTTGAATCAGAAGGTGGAGGTTGCAGTGAGCCAAGAGTAAGCCAAGATCATACCACCACACTCCAGTCTGGGTGACAGAGTAAGACTCCGTCAAAAAGAAAAAGAAGAAGAAGAAAATGAAGGAGGAGGAGGAGGAGAAGGAGGAGGAAGAAGAAGAAGAAGAAGAGGAAGAAGAAGAAGGAGAAGGAGAAGGAGAAAGAGGAGAAGGAAGAAGAAGAAGAAGGAGGAGGAGGAGGAGAAAAAGATCAATAGAAAGGTATCTGGTCTTGAGACACAATCTTTTCAATTAAACTTTCTATGCATTTGTCCATCTTGTCTATTTTTCTTGAGTTCTTTTTTCTTTTCTTTGTACCCAGATGAGCTCATTTTCTTGAGTTGTTATGTAGCTGGCAGATAAAAAAAAATTCTGCCAATCAAATGATGCTTCCTTAAATCTCATCTCTGTTGATGTTCTAGTCTTTAAGCTTGACTCAGTCCCCTTCTTGAATTCCAAGCCTGACATGTGGATTCCCTATACCTGAGGTCACTGTATTGATTCCCTGCCTATGGTCTACTCCCTCTACATCTAGTCTCTACTCTGGCTTGACACTCTCAAACAAACTTTAGTCTAAGACCTGCTCTTCCTGGGACAGCCCCTAGAGTATATTACCTTCAGCCAGTGTGTAGTCTAACCCAGTGGAGGACACAAATAAGATCTCATGTCAAATCATCACTGCTGCTCCAACTTAGGTGGGTAGCCAAGATAGATAAGGAGTTATTTAATCTCTGGGAATCAAACACTTTAAAAATCTTATAATTTTCAATAATGAACATTCCCCTAACTCTTGTCAGAATTCTGATGCCACTATAAGTCCTCCCTTACGTTCCTCCCATCCCCACCACACATACACACACAAACACACGTGCATACACACACACAAAAAACCAGACACATACAAACCCATTTATTTAAATAAATAAAATACTTGAGCAATTTCTTCATAGTCTTGAGGACAGAAATTGAGTCTCAAACATACCAGGAGCTTTACTAAATTCTCTATATACATCTTTCACCTTCATAGATGAATGAAGGGGTTTCTGCCAACACTTCAGTAAATTATAAAAGCGAAATATCTCTGTTTTGAGGGTTGAATTATTAGGGGAAAAACCAATATGAAACCTATTTAAAAATGTATAACACAAGAGAAGGATAGCACTTACTCTACAAGTCAGAATTCGACATAATCCCCAGCCTGAAGGAGCTCAAGAGTTGAGCAAATCGAATTAATGATACAAATTACAAGACTTCTAAAATACAAAAAAAGAAGATAAAGAGATTAAAAAGATAGAAGATACGATAATGAATACAGAAAACAGTCATATTTCTAACCTTTTGAACCTGTAAATAACAGAAAACTCTAAAGGACAAAGGAAAATAGAGTAAGCAAAGGTAATAATCAATGATACCTAAAAGAAAACCTTTCCAACTTAAGAAGTTATTTGATCCCAGAGTTGAGATATTCCTACATGTAAGGAAAAATTAATAAATATATTATGATGACTTTTAAAGCTCAAAAGTAAAGAAAGACTCTTAAAAAACTTCTAGACAACACAAAATGAAATTACATATAACAGAATGAAAGGGAATTTGCCTTCTTTTTTGCAATTCTAAATACTAGAAACAATATAATTAAAACTAGGTCTAAATCTCCCATAAAAAACTAAAGTTATTTTGTTTTTATATTTGATAATTATATAAATATGCTTAATAATGTTTTGAAAATTTTAATGTCTTAAAGTAGAATTTAAAATAGACTGTCCCAATTTCTAGATCACTGGAGAAGGTGGGTAAACCAATCTCTATATAGGAGAAAACAATACAGAATGGGGAGGAAGAAGAGTGTACTGAACAATTCAGAAAAGATAGCTGCCATTATACTCTTTCTGACAAAGAGTAAGATACAAACCATACCCTCAGCCCTCTTCAGAGAGGCTTCTTGTGACTATACTTTGAAATTCATGACCTGATTATCCCAATAATAGGGACAGTTGTGTCTTACTGGAGTTTTAAATGCCAGACATATGGTGAGGAATTGTATTAAAATGTATCTGGGATTTGTTTTACTTGGGTATGGTAAGACATGCATACACAGAAACAGAAATGACCGTCATGAAGAAAGAAGTTTATACTCACACATCCTCAGAAACTGCACATCACATAGGGAAGCACCAAGGTCACTCAGGAGACAAAGGCGTAAGGGGAAAGCATGGACCAAAGCCTTTCCTATGGTTTTTGCAAGAAGGAATGAGTAAGGTAAGGTAGGCAGATTTAGGAGAGGTTAGTTTGAATAACTTAGTGGACTCTGGGATATAGGAATTCCCCCACTGCCTGGAACCTGCCCCTGGGGTGATCTTAGGGCAGGGGATGGGGCTTAACCTGTGGGAGCTCCATGAAAGAAGCAGTCGGTGTGCGTGGACTCTGGATTTACTCATTTTCTCATAAAAACAGTATCACAGGAGAGTCATTTGCTAGCTCTAGAAATTAGCTAACCATAGGAGAAGCAGTCTTTTCAAAATTGGCAAGACCCTCAGATGTCAAAACATCATAAAATACAGAAAATAGAAAAATGCTAATATATGCAACCAGGAGTTACAGAAGCAGAGCAACTCACTGAGAGAAACCAGTAAGCAAAATTCATAAATAAACAGATGCCATGAGGAAATAGAACCATAAAAAAGCAGAAAATCATAAAACTATAAGTTCTCTGAGAACAGTAATTGCCTCTATCTTATTCACAGTTAAATATATCCAGCAACTTTGACATTGTTTTAATAAATGTATTGAATTAATGACTGGATCACTCACTTTAAAAATCAAACAATACTACAGAAAACAAGGGCAAAGAGAATTGATAGTGATGAGTGCAGTAGAAAGAGACTGAGAGTCACTTAGACAGGGCAAAGTTCTCAAGCACAGAAACAGACGTTAGCTGCTGAAAGGACAATAAGAAAAGCTGGTCTCAAACAAAGCTGTATTCTGATTCAGCATTGAAGTTTTCTGAAGTGGCTGTAGAGGAACTGAAACTATTTCTTTTTATTTTCACATGGATTCTTAAAATAATTATTATTAATAATACCTAATGTGCACTAATGGAAGACTAACCATAACCTTACATCATACAGAAAGTTCCAACTTGGAGGATGTAGAGCAACATGGCCTTCTAGAAACCTCCAGTGATCATTTACACCACAGCAACACCAAACTGACCAACTATCCACCCAAAAAAGCACCTTCATAAGAACCAAAATCAGGTGAACCATCATAGTACCTGCTTTTTGTTTCTTTGTTTGCCATGCAAACCAACAACAGTAGTACCTGCTTTTAACATGTCAGAAAAGAGGCACTGAAAAAGGTAGGTAGAAAATACAGGCTTGAATTGTCTATACCACCCCTCCCCCATCCCCTGGAGTCAGCCACATGTCACAGAGAGAAAACTCTGTGTACTTGGGGGAGGGAAAGCACAGTGATTGTGAGACTTTGCATTGGAATTCAGTGCTGCACTGTCACAGTGGAAAGCAACAAGGGGCAAAACTCAACCTGGGCCCACAGAGAAAGCATTTAAATCACCCCTAGCCAGAGGTGAATTATCCATCCCAACAGTAAGAACCTGAGATCCAGAGAGTCGCACCACCATGGGCTAAAGTGCTCTTGGGTCCTAAATAAATTTGAAAACCAGTCTAGTCCACAAAGACAGCAATTCCTGGGCACATCCTGGTCCTGTGCTGGTCTTGGAGTCAGTATACTTGAAGTGCATGCGACCTAGTGAGACAGCAGCCAGGGCAGCCAAAGGGGTGCTTGCATGACCCCTCCCCCAAATCCAGGCAGCACCAATTGCAGCTCTGGGAGAGATTCCTTTTCTCTGCTTGAGAAGAAGAGAAGAGAGAGTAAAGAGGACTTTGTCTTATAACTTGATACCAGCTCAGCCACAGTAGAATAGGGCACCAGGCAGAATCCCGAGGCACCCATTCTAGGACCTAGCTCCAGGATGACATTTATAGACATACCCTGGGCCAGAAGGAAATTCATTGCCTTGAAGGGAAGGCCTCAGTCCTGGCAAGATTAATAACCAGCTGACTAAAGAGCCCTTGAGCCCTGACTAGTCAGCGGTAGCTAAGTAGTACTCACCATGGGCCTTGGGTAAGACTCAGAGCTCTGCTGGCATCAGGTGTGACTCAGCACATTCCTAGCTACGGTGGTTTTGCAAAAATACTTCTGCTTAAGGAAAGGACAAGGAAGAGTAATGGGACTTCGTCTTATAGCTTGGATACCAGCTCAGCCACAGTGGGGTAGAGCACCAAATGGGCTCTTGAGGTCTCTGATTCTAGGACTTAGATCCTGGATGGCTTTTCTAAACCTGCTCTGCACCAAAGGGGAGCCTACTGCCCTGAAGGGAGGCACTGAAGAGGTCTTGGGCCTTGAGTGAATATTGGCAGGCTGTACTTGCTGTTGGTACTTGCTAGGTTGTACTTGCTGTGGGTCTGGGACAGTGGTGACTGCAAGGAAAACTCTGCTTGAGGAAAGGGGAGGAAAGACTGGGAAAGACTTTCTCTTGTGGCTTGGGTTCCAGCTCAGTGTAGTAGAATAGAGCACCAGGTAGATTCCAAAGGTTCCTGACTTCAGACTCTAGCTCCCAGACAGCATCACTGGACCTACTAGGAGAAGGGGGAAACTCACCGCCCTGAAGGGAAAGACACAAGCCTGACTAGATTCTCCACATGCTAACTGAAGAGCCCTTAGGCCTTGAGTGAACATAGGTGGTAGCTAGGGAATGGTCACAGTGGGCTTTGGGCAAGACCCAGTGCTGTGGTGGCTTTGGGCCTGACCCAATACAGTCCCAGTGCTGGTGACCACAAGAGTGCTTGCGCCATCCTTCCCCAAGCTCCCAGGAGCTCAGAACAGAGCGACTCTGCTTGTTTGGGGAAAGATAAAGGAGGAGAACAAGAGTCTGCCTGGTAATCTAGGGAATTCTCCTGGATCTCACCTAAGATCACCAAGGTAGTACCTCTATGAGTCTGCAAAAGCCATTGTTTTACTGAGCTTGGGGTCTTCTAATGCAGATACGGCACCAACGATTTTTATCACAACACTTAAGTCCCTTTGAACGCCTGGAAAGCCTTCTGAAGGAGGACAGGTACAAACAGACGCAAAGACTACAATAAATACCTAACCCTTTAATGCCCAGACACCAATGAACATCCAAAAGCATCAAGACCGCAAAACATGACCTCACCAAACAAACTAAAGAAGACACCAGGGACCAACCCCAGAGAGACAGAGATATATGACCTTTCAGACAGAGAATTCAAAAGAGCTGTTTTGAGGAAGCTCAAAGATATTCAAGATAACACAGAGAAGGAATTCAGATTCCTATCAGAAAAATTTAACAAAGAGATTGGAACAATTTAAAAGAATCAAGTAGAAATTCTACAGCTGAAAAATGCAATTGACTACTGAAGAATGAATTAGAGTCTCTTAACAGCAGAACTGATCAAGCAGTAAAAAGAATTAGTGAGCTTGAAGATAAGCTATTTGAAAATACACAGAGGAGACAAAAGAAAAAAAGAATTTTTTTATTTTTTTGAGATGGACTTTTGCTCTTGTCACCCTGGCTGGAGTGCAATGGCACGATCTCAGCTCACTGCAACCTATGCCTCCAGGGTTCAAGCGATTCTCCTGCCTCAGTCTCCTGAGTAGCTGGAATTACAGGCACCTGCCACCATGCCCAACTAATTTTTGTATTTTTAGTAGAGACAGGGTTGCACCATGTTGGTAAGACTGGTCTCGAACTCCTGAGCTCAGATGATCCCCCCACCTCGGCCTCCCCCTGTGCTGGGATTACAGGCATGAGCCACCTTGCCCAGCCAGAAAAAATAATTTTAAAAAATGAAGTGCAGCTACAGGATCTAGAAAATAGGTTCAAAAGGGCAAAACTAAGAGTTGCTGGCCTTAAAGAGGAGATAGAGAAAGGGATAGGAGTAGAAAGCTTATTCAATTTTAATTTTCTGTATATGGCTAGCCAGTGCTCCCAGCACCATTTATTAAATAGAGAATCCATTCCCCATTGCTTGTTTTTGTCAGGTTTGTCGAATATCAGACAGTTGTAGATGAGCAGTCTTATCTCTGAGTTCTCTATTCTGTTTCATTGATCTATGTGTCTGTTTTTGTACCAGTACTATGCTCTTTGGTTACTGTAGTCTTGTAGTAGTTTGAAGTCAGGTAGCATGATGTCTTCAGCTTTGTTCTTTTTGTTCAGGATCCTGTCTTGGCTACACAGGCTCTTTTGTGGTTTCATATGAATTTTAAAATATTTTTTTCTAATTCTGTGAAGAATATCAACAGTGGTTTAATAGGAATAGCATTAAATCTAAAAATTACTTTGGAAAGTATGGCCACTTTCATGATATTGATTCTTCTTATCCATGAGTATGGGATGCTTTTTCATTTGTTTGTGTCTTCTCTGATTTCCTTTAGCAGTGGTTCACAGTTCTTCTCGAACAGGTCCTTTACTTCCCTCATTAGCTGTATTCCTAGGTATTTTATTCTCTTTGTAGCAACTGTGAATAGGAGTTTTTTTCAAGATTTGGCTCTCTGTTCATCTGTTGTTGGGGTACAGGAATACTTGTGCTTTTTGCACATTGATTTTGTATGCTGAGACTTTGTTGAAGTTGCTTATCAGCTTAAGAAGCTTTTGGACTGAGAAGTCCACTCCCTTACACCTTATACAAAAATTAATTCAAGATGGATTAAAGACTTAAATGTAAAACCAAAAACTTATAGTTAAAATCCCAGAAGAATATCTAGGCAATACCATTCAGGACATAGCCCTTGGCAAAGATTTCATGACAAAAACATCAAAAGCAACTGCAACAAAAGCAAAAATTGACAAATGGGATCTAATTAAAGAAATTCTGCAGAGCAAAAGAAACTATCATCAGAGTGAACAGACAACCTACAGAATGAGAGAAAAATTTTGCAATCTATCCATCTAACAAAGGTCTAATATCCAGAATCTACAAGGAACTTAAACAAATTTACAAGAAAAAACAAACAACTCCATTAAAAGTGGGCAAAGAACATGAACAGATGCTTTTCAAAAGAAGACATACATGTGGCTAATAAATATATGAAAAAAAGCTCAACATCACTGATCATTAGAGAAATGCAATTCAAAACTGCAATGAGATATCATCTCATGCCAGTCAGAATGGCAATTATTAAACAGT